TCATTTATTCATTTGCTTTATTTTTAGTGCCACACAAACAGCTATACGCCTTCTTAGTGATGCACTACGTCTAAATAAAAAGAATTCGCATCTCAAGAACAAATGTTGACATGCCAGAACGAAAGGAAGGCATCGATGCACTTTCTAAATGTTCGTTCGCATCCAAAAATATCAATACCAAATTCATCTAGGTTGGATTCGAATTTGTTAAAAACCAGTTGCAGACGGGTAATAGGGTCAGCGTTGCGTAAAATGAGAGGATAGAACAATGAGCGTATTCGAATAAACCGTTCAGGAACACGCAAATTTACACTGTTCAGTAACGCTGTGCAGTCAACAACGCCATTAACAACTTTATGCAAGAACATGAAATCACGCGTCATTCGCCTATTACACAAGGAGCGTAAGCCAATTTGTTTACATATTCTCTCATAGTCATAAAATACCTTGGACTGCAAGTAAATATCATAAAAGACACGTATACATTTTCTTTGCACTCGCCCAATACTAGATGAGTTAGATTCTCCAATGCTGTTCCATACAACTGAAGAAAACTCGAGGCGGCTTAGCACAAGAGAGCGAAATAACATTAAAAAAACATTGTGGATTTCCAAAATTTCTCGATATACGCGTTATGATACCAAAAACATCTAGAGACGAGTTTACAATATTCATAACCGGATGATTAAACGAAATTTCAGTGTCTAAATATACACCCAAATCCACAATCAGAGACACACGGCTGATAACAGTTCTGTCTAAAGCATAGCAAGATTGAAAAACGTCACGTTTCCTGCTGAGAAAAATATTCCACCTCGGTCGTGCAGACGCATTGTCAAAAATATATCCCCTTTTTTCTGCCACTGATATACCTGCATTGACACTGAAGAATAATATCCATCCCGCTTTTCCTTGGTGGCGCTGATTAAAAAACGACCAATGACAAATGTTCCAAGTGTATCACCGTTTTATGTGCACTCCGGACTTCTGAGAGTGTAGCACTCTCCGCGAAGGGTTGATTCATCTTAAGTCAAGCGCTATCTTTTCAATGATAAGAGTCAAAACACCTGCGTAGGATCCTCTTTCTGTACACTCGGCACCCGCCCAAGCCTTCGAGGTACTCAAAAAATGGATGGGGATTTCGAGCTAGTAATCACTTTCTGGCTTCTTTCCAAGGCGATTCAACGTATTCAAATAAGCCAGCCAAGTGAAATGCAGGACCAAGATGAAATGTTTTCTTTGGCAAATCAAGTTTGTCAGTGAGCTCATGTTTCAATTAAATATTATTATGGTTTTATTGATATAGCAAGAAACGACTGGTTTCGATGAAACTGGCACATGCGGTGCCCTTCGACGAAGTATTGCAGAACGTCACTGCTTCATTAAGAAATTTACCCCCCCCCCCCTCCCTTTACAACCTTTCCCCAAGTTTCAGCAAGCAAGGGTAAAGGAAAACTGTTGAATATGGCTTCCCCGCATTAGGTCTTTCAATTTTTGATGCCGACTGATTTTAACGAGTATTTTGTTTTTCAATAATACAGCGATGGCGCAGGCGAACTTCTGTAAATATATTCAATTTAACGAGACATCAGAGAGTTTGGTTGTTTTACGCATTTTCACCAAGTGTGAAGTCTTTTAACGCAATTTCTTTTCTTTCCCAATTCAATTGCGAACATTCAAACGTTTCTTCGGCAGAGTTAAACATAATTATCTTTACTTCTATGCACATTCTAACGTGAGGATGCTCTTTTCAACGATCCTTAAAATACAAAATAGTTTACCGTGAACGTACAGTCCAAGTTTTTAAGGGGAGGGGAGGGTGTCAATAAATATCATTCGAGAAACAATATTATCAATATTATCATTCTTAAGAAACGTAGGGCGTGCTTTCTTGTCTTCACGCTCTCGTAATTCGTTCTTCGCCATTCTTATCAGTAATGATGATATCTCATTGGCTGCGAAGCGATAATAATATGTGCTCGCCTCACCCTCCCTTTCTTAAGATGTTAATAACTATAGATGACTATTACTCGATCATCAATCGGAAAGTTGTAACGCCCCCCCCCCCCCCCCCCCCCCCCCCCGCGGTTTTTACACTGTTTCATTGCGGTGACCGGCAAGTCTACTGCTTCGGTCTCGTCAAAGAGTGTGATTAGAAATACGATCGTTATCAGTCGCGTCCTTGTAAACAGGTCATAACCATGTTCCATGGCTGCTGACAGGGAAGAAACTGCGTCCATAAAACCAGAGCGCGAAGCAGTGCGCGATCGGAGGGCTGTTGCAGAGTTGTGTGCCGCCTGCAGTTGCCTTTGTTTTTGAACATCCATTTATTGCGCCCGACATCCGGTAAGGCTCGTCGACGGTAATTTTAGACGGATGTGTCGCTTGTGCGACCGGACGAGCGAGAGGAAATACTTGGGTCACTTGCAGAGGCGGGTGGGTCAAGTTACTATGTGCACTGTTTCACCATAATCTGGCAAATGAAGAAGGCAACAACAGCCCCAGTGAGCCAATCTGCACGCCCGAAAGAGGAACAACGTGACAACACATCATACAGGAGTGCTGTCCCCCTGCCAAACGGTTGTCACATAGATTCGCCACGTCACTCCGGTTGACTGTACCGCGTTCGCTCTTTGCAAAGTTATAGCAATTGAGAAACCAAGTTAAGTAGCGACGAATACTGATGTTTGCATTATGTCGCGGTATTGCGTTATCGTGCTCGATGTTCATGGAACTTTCATGCACATCTTGCCATATAAACCCTCGTGGTTTGCAGTATGAAATAAGTATTTAAAAAAAAGTAAGATAAATAGACGCATGATCGAAACGGTGCTTGATGTATTCGGCTGTCTCGAGGAGGCATTTATGGCTATCTTCTCCTAATGTCAGTTCATGACGTACTTAACACAGTCTAAATTAGAATCTACCGATGACCTTCACTGAGCAGTTGTTGTGACCAGAGTGTAATGTTTCATGTTTTCGTTGGCGAATTCATTATATAGCAGTATAACTTTAGAACTCGCTGGTATACTTATACAACGTCAGGGCTGGACAATGTTTTCCCCTTAAAGTTGAAAAAAATATAGTATAAGAATCTCAAATTAAACCGTCATCTGTTTTTCCTTCCAAATTAAATTCCTCACAATAATTCTGCTCTAAAATCGCTTTTTTAAATGTAATAACAGGTTTCTTTTTCATAAACATCGCTGTCCTTTTACAAATAAGAAATATTAAGTGTTTTTTTTTTATTTGTAAAAGTACAGCGATGTATATGAATAAGAAACTTGTTATTACATTAATAAAATATGATTTTAGAGCAGAATTTATGTGAGGGAATGTCAGGGTATGGTGACAATTCCCTGTAATGCCGAAATAGAGAGCAGCTCCTCAGAACAAGGAGGGGAGGGTACGGAGGGGAGGGCATGCCCCTCCTTCCCCTCAGTACCCTCTCCTCCTCCTCTCCTGCTCCCCTCCCATTTAGCGGGAAATTTTTCCGCTAAATTTAGCGGGGGAATTTCTCCGCTAGACATAGCAGGAACATTCTCTTGCTAAATATAGCGTAAAAGTTTTTGCAAAATTCGCCGCTAAATTTAGGGGGGAAATACTCCCACAATGCAACCCGCGGTTACGCCCTGTTGCATTATTCCCAGAATGCAACGCGCGCGGTTACGCCGACGGCGACGGCGAGGGCGGCGCCGGTCAATCCGGAAACTGGCGCTTAAGAGCTGCGCTCTAAAATGAAGCGTTTCTTACAAGAATGCGCTTAGATAAAGTATGATTTTTCATTTTTCGGCGTTTATTGGAAACCAGAGGTATAGATATGCTCCTAAGAACTTGTAACCGATAGGTGAATAAAAAAATAGTCGTAATGAGACCATGTAAAATAAATACGAAGACGTCAGCCAGCGCTATCGCACTGGTTTCGTAACACTAATTGTTTGAAAGATATTTCACCGTGTGTGATACTTCGTATGCTATATATGGCTGTAAGTACTTCGCCGAAGCTGATATCAATGTAGACACTGGTAATGATAACGCAGTCATATCAAAAGGTTTGCTACCAGAAAGACTCCAGGATTCAAAGAAACATTCCCTATGTCAGTACAACTGCCCTTTCGTTCGCTTTTGTGCTCTGCGATTTGGTTATTGTATCTACATTCTTTTTTCGCATGTTTGACGGGCAATTGTCTTTTCCTCGTTAAATAAATTCCGATAAATGTCGGGTTTATGTTTGGTAAATTAACTAGATTTCATTACGAGATACCCTGCAAACCAGAAACCACATATATAAGTTTGTAACCAATAGGAGGTATTCACTAGACGCCATATTGGAAGGCGATGTTTGAAACGCATGCTCAGAACGAGCTCACATTACTGGACTGCTAAGACCGGTAATTTTGATGGCCCAGAATGCACGTTGGATATTATAAGAACTGCTGAAGCTCGCCGTAGGCACGCGCTCAGCAGTCATGCACACAGCCATGGCCGCCACTGAATACTCCCTATACGAGTAAATCCCGTAATATTATATCTAGCTAGCTTTTTTTCAGTTTGCTTTATTAACGCCCCGTTTCCACTTAGCCATTCGTATTGATTTTTAAAACGCTCCTTATTTTTTTTTTTTTTCCTTTTTATATCCGAACGTGTACCGCCTTCGTGGTACGTTAGATTATAATTTTTTTCACTTTAAATGAAACTTCGCTTGTTTTGACCCTTGTAAGCTTTGAACAAAAATGATGACGCACCGCGTCCTATATATTGAATTAGTACAAAGGCACACACATATTTTTTTTTCTTATTTTTGTTAGAGTTTCGATTTGGCCTAGTTTAGTTCTGCCTATCCAAGGATACCATGAGGCGACATCGACAGAGCTTGCTATCATATCCGGTTAGCGACTCCGTGGTTGAAGATCAGGTGCGCAAGCATTTTTTTAACGGTTTTTTGCATCTATATAAAAATCCTCGCGATGTCAACGCGACAGTTCCGCAACGTACCGCATAATTTCCCAAATCGAACACATGCCTTTGAAGGTCATAGTCCCCGGTCGCTAACGACGCACGCATGACAGGAAGCGCAATGTTCCCGAGTCGTCCTAGACATCATTTCCTGCACTAGCGTTCGCACAGGTGTAACGAGATAGCCGCGGAGTCGCTGGTGCCAGAGGCCACGTAAACTCGTCATCGAGGTGCTTCTTTCATCCCCGTACTTGCATCGCCCCATTGTTGTGGAACTCTTGACATTCAACCCTGACGCTCCCGCCGCAGAGTCAACGTTATGAGAAGTTATCGGAGTTATCGGGCCAGGTAAACGCGTCGGACAAGATAAGAAAGACTGCCTTTCGCAAGAGCTGCGTTTCTGCCAGAGCGAGGCAGCTTGTGATGTAAGTGTTCCTCTCGCGTCGGAGCTTCCGTGTCGCCGGTGGGGGGGCTACGACAGACTTTCGAAGACCACCTCCTCAAGCTCACAATGGTGTGGTGTAGAACGTACTGACTGTCCATACCACAGCCGGCGACGACCCCGTGGTGTACGGAAATGAAGAACAGTGGATGCCTGCCGGAATACGCCAATATCGCCATGGTCAGCATGCACGAGGTCCGACCACTTGTGGCTCACAGTCTTCATGGTAACGCTGGTTAAGATATGTTTCTTTGTCTCTGGGAAGAGGGGGAGGGGTGGGGGTCTAATGTAAGATCATATTTTCTTGTACCTGAGCAATGGTATGTGTTGTAGAGGCAGACACTTACCCGTTACTGGAAAATGTAACTAAATACCCTTACTGGTTACTCATTGCAAAAGTAACTAAGTACGTTATTCCTTACTACAATTAAAAAGGAACGCGTTACATCAGCCTGAAAGTAACACGTTATTTTCTTGTTACTTTGAATGCGTCGTCTTTATGAAGAAGTCGACCGTTCCAATATTTGTCGTTGTTACTAGTTCCTTCCTTTTAACGTCTTCATTCAAGGATAACCGTTGCTACACCGATATACCTCGTGCTCATCTTTTTATGGTCTATCTAGCTTTTTTTTTTTTCGTTGTGCCCATGACAGGTTGGGTACTTGTGTTGTACACGTTCCCCTCCAGATGTAACTAAATACCGTCACTCGTTACTTAGTCAAAAAGTAGCGAAAGCACGTTACTCGTTCCGTACGTAGCCATTTTATTTCTACGTTACTGAAAAAATTACCTAGGCACAAGTAACGCCTCACTTGTTAAGGGTTACGTGCAATTGGAGGCCGCGCGATAGGATACCGCGCGTGCTGCAGTGAAAAGAGGTATATAGCTAGTTTTGGCTTAATGTGTACCTCAGTAAAAGATGCAAGTGCGAGGTCAAAGTTTTGGAAAGATTTTGTCCCGCACGACTTTAGAGGCATCTTGTAAAGCCAGGAGCTCGCCTTGCCAACATTCCCAGAGTGCTAAAATACTTATGCAAATCGACCGGTCTACGCATTTTGTTTGAAACGAGACATTACTCAATGACGCAGTGCATACGGAACAATAGTCCAGTAAAAAAACACGTATCCAGGTCATGAACTGTGAAGTTTGTGGCCATGTAGATTCGAAAGGTGCTCCCGGTGTATGAGTATTCTCGCTGTCGGGGAGCATGCATACAAAATTGCGGAGGTACGAGGCTCTCGCGTCAAGCCTTCGCTCGGACGTTCGTTAAATATACCGCGTATAGTTGATGCTTTGTCTTCGTCATATATAATAGCGAAGGACGCTTCTTCGGCACACATTAGCAGCCACACGAAACTTGAAATAAAGAACGTCTCAAGTTTCTCTTCGCCAGTGCTCGGAGAAGCTTGGTGCATATTCGCTACCTGGAAGAATCGCATCCGCCATTGCAGGAAAGGACGTGTAAGCAAGCTTCTAATAGCAAAAATAATATTTGTTTTATTTTAAAATACATAGCGAAGATGGAGCTTATAGGATTCAGTGGCGGCACAAGCTAGCATGTTTTCGTCGCAGATGTCTTAGAACACTCATCAACAGTTCAACCATGATACCGTTTTACGTTCACTTCAAGATGAGACAGGTTACTCGAAGTTGTCCAATCATGAGTCGCGTCTCCACTAACAGTTTAAGTCTGCGAACGAGAGTGTTGCGATAGCAGATTCTTCGTCCTTGACCTAGATATGTGGCTCTCCCTGTACTATCGGCTCGCCATGGATAACGATGAGGCTTAAAGCCGCCAACGTTTTTAACGCTATTTTGTAATATAGAATGCACCTTGTACATTCTTACGTCGAGGTAAGGACGTGATTTACTACGGAAATCTTACGACACAATGAAAGGTTGCCACGGTAGCTCGAAGGCTTACCTCGACATCACCCAGCATCAAGGAAGGCAAAGGTATGCAGAGTTAGCCTTCAGAAAACTATCAGTGTCCGTGTCCCCGTGCCCCCTTTCCCCTTTAGCCTAATTAAGTAGCAGGTTTCAGTCAAGGCACAAGTGCTTGGAGACATAGCTCAAACCCGAATAGAAAATAGAAAATAGAAAAGCCTAACCTAGCCTAACCTAACCTACACTACCTTAATCTACTCTACCCAAACCGAATCTGAACTAACCTATTCATCAAGCCTCAGTCACGCGGCTAACACATCATGCAAAAGAGAGTCTGCAAAGTGCAGACAGTGCATGACGCATGTTTCTTCCTCGCATGAAGGTCCTCCCGTATTGGTCATACAAAAGCTGTCTGCAGATATATACACGCTCGGAACATCGTTAAGGCATGTCTGCATGTATCTGTGTCACCAAGACTGCAGCAAACGTTGTGTGGTTTGTACGAAGTATGAACAGTGGGACTGGGGCTTAAAGGGGTTATGACTCGCCAAAAATAAAATATTACATAACTATACTGCTAGGACCCATTGTATGTTCCTATAATCCTGCTATATTTGTTCTGAAAAAGGCGCGATAATTTCGTGGATAAGTCGATTTATATCCGGGCCCCTCGGAGGGGCAGATCCGGGCGGACCTAGAGGCTGATGACGTAGCCAGCCTCCAGCGTGGTGTCTACTTGCACGCACTCACAGACTTGGCTCTCTTGGCGTATCGAGCCTCAGCTTCCTCGTTTACCTTCCACGTTTCCAGCATCCGGTCTGTGACGATTACGTCTACGGCATCGATCGCCTTGTCGAAGTGTTCGACATTGATCGCAGCAGCGATGAGAGTCATTGCTATCAAAAGATGTTGCAAGCTGTTCATTTTGACTGCGACCCGCTGGCGACGAGCTGCAGCGACGACGAGTTCGCCGTGGTCACCGTCGTCCGGGAATGTCTCGCAGGCGCATGCAGGGTGGAAGGTCGACCGGCCGGGGGGCGAGAGCGAGAATAGCTTTCAGTTTACCGAGCTGTTTGAGCGGTTTTGTTCGTACCGCGACGAGAAGAGCTTGGGCGATCATGGGGGCGCCTAGAATGAGAGAGTGTTCATGGTCACGTGGTTTATGGACACCATGGTGTGACTAACTTGAGCAGTGTTGCCTGGTCGCCAGATGAAAATGATAAAAATTCGTAAATTGAATATTGCAATTATCAGAGCTCTAAAAATTTTGTAACTTAATTGGTGTATATACTAAGTAGCCTATGAGCCTTCCATTTCAAGAATAATCTATCCAATTAATTTTCGTGTCATAACCCCTTTAAGAATTTCTAACGGGAATACAGACGCGAATATGCCTTGTGGGAGCTAGAAGAAAACAATGCGTTCTTTAGGAAGGGGCAGGTTCCTCGATTTATTTCCGTTCTTTTTCCAGCTGTGCCCGCGAAGGGAGCCAACCTACCCGCAGCCTGCTTGCCTGGACGCACAGCCAAGGAATCCGCTCTGCGACCGGAAGATGCCGCAGCCGGTGGTTCGTCTCCGAAGCGGCAGGGGGCTTTCTTGCACGTGCTGCTTGCTGCGTGCATCGCATCCCTGGGAGGCATCCTCTTCGGCTACGACACCGGTAAATACACCGCGACGGGGCCCCCCCGGCAGTAGCCAGGGGGCGCTACCATTCGTCGCACGCGCTAAGCATGCGCGACTTAAAAAAAAAAACACTCAACTGCAGCCAACGTTTTTAGAACCCCTCAGTTGGGAAAGTGGCATAGAGCCTGCTTTAAAAAAGTGGCTCCGATACGTACTCGAGAACCGAGCTAATGGCGATCGCAGCGCCGCCATTTCTCCCGCAGCGTCCACTCCGGGAACTGCACGGCTGCACGTCGACGGGCAAGGGCCGGTGGCGCCATTTCGCAGTGCCATCTCGCAGTAGCTATGTGAAGCAACGTTCATGTTTCAACTCGTCGCTAAAAAGTGGCGCTGTTATCGTATTTACCTCGGTCTCGGTGGACGCCAGCGGCCCAGGTTTCAAAGGGCGACTTCCCCAATTGAGGGCTTTAGTAACGTAAACTGCAACCTACTTGGCCTCCGCCTTTTGAAAACAGGTAGAAAGATGTCCGTCCTAAGAATACCGCGCACGTTTCACTCTTTTTACTCCTTTTCACATCAAGTTCGATCGCAGCCCACGCTACTCTCCGATGCAGCCAATCAAGCGGCGCCAAAAGTGCTTCGTCACGGAGCTCCTTGTCTTTGTGGTAGGGTTGTGCAAATAGTGGTTCGAATCGAATGGCGCAGCGTCATCCCTTGCTTCTGTTGAAAGAACCGGCCGTCTCGGATTTCTCTTGCATTGTCAAAGCTGTGAATGACGCAGCGCAATCCGATTAAAACTACTATTCGCACAACCCTACTTCGTGGATATGCTATCACCAACTAAATCAATCAGGAAAAAAAAAAACCGCAGGATTATTGTGCGTTTTCTTTGTGTGTTTGGTTTAGTCGGATAGAGCAAACCAGATTGGTCGAACCAAAATTTTTGTCGGTTCTGTTCGGGTTCGTGGTTTTCGGTTCAGTTCCGGGAAGCAAAAGTAATGGTTTGAACCGCTAAAATAAAAAAAAAAAAAAAAAAAGTATTTTCCGCGGTTTCTCTTTTTTTTTTTTGCAATAAGCATTATTTTTATTTTGAAACGAGCAAGTATTTAGTTTTGTCATTCGTACAATTCACATTCATTTTCGGGAACCGAGAATTAAGAAATTACGATATTTAATTTCTACAAAACAGTAAAAGAAAAGCTAGAATAACGTACAAAACGTCGTGCGTTTACACGACTCAACATTTGTTTGTTTACTTTGGTGGAATATATTTTACCAAAATAAAAAGGACATCACAAAGTCTGGTAGGTCGCCATAACTACCCACAATTGGTACAAATTTGCGTCGCAGTACTATAAGTGGAATCCTCGTTGTGCTCTTGAACTTAGAAATTAATTATAGCGCATGAACTCATGGATTGGGCACCTCATCGCCATATGTATCGTGAAATATAGTATACAAATTACGTTTCACAATATATTTTATGACGACGTAACTGAGCCAAAAACAAAATTTTCATTATGTTCCGAAAGTTTTACGAACAAGCCCTTTTTTGTAGAAACACTGAGCGGCAATCACAACCCTTGTTACACTGACCAACATTGTTTAGACTCAGCACCGTGATGCAGGCAAATAATCACGTAGAAAAGAGTGCTTAAAATTGTTTACTCTAATCTAATCCCCAGTCTCAGGTTTACAATCATGTTCAACTTACACCAGCTCGCCTGCACTCTGACTATTTTTTCGCTATATCATACCTTCGTACTCAGGTCGGATCTGGCCTAATATAGCACACAGTCAAGTGAACATTTTCTTATGCAGAATAAACTGCCATGGCCCGGCTGTTGAGGCTTATTCTTGACAAAATGCCGATCAACTCACTTTGCAAACATGCATCACCCTCACTGATTGAAGATGTGTTTCTTAAATGAGACAAAATAGTAATTTACTCAAAACTGCACTGCTTGGTCACTTTCTGAAGGACTGCGTGCGCAATCGTCACAGTTCCGCAACGCGCATCTGTGCAATTTGTTTTTGTCCAGCCCACAGACACATACAATTGTTATTCATTACATGAAAAGAGGCACTAACAGACTTCTATGCGCTTAGTAAGTTTATTATATGTCAGGAAGACATAGCTATTTAAATCATGTTCAAAATCAAATATTTGTATATAAGGCTCTTCCAAATCACGTAGACGAGGCTATGGGGGATAAAAACGCCGGAAAAGATTTGTAGAGCATATTTTAGATAATTTGGGGGTGTATTTACTTATGATGTATACTTTTAAGGTCATTAACCCTTTATTTGTGTTCGCAAATCCTCAGTCAGTAATTTTGTATCGTTTTATTATCATCAATGAATTTGACTGTATGAAATTCGCATTACCGCTTGAGGCCACCAACACGGGAGGACGATGCTCTAAAATACGCCATCTGTTGAGTCTGCGGAAACGTGCTTTTTTATTCGCTGTTCAGCAGTGCGAAACTCTAGGTCGCAGGGTATGCCAAAAAAGACTATGCTCATATAAAAGATCTGAAGGTAAATACACGAAATGGACAGAAATATAAATGATAAATGGTATTCTTTTTAATGATCCCGTAGACGACACCTCACTGCAAAAAGAAATACATAGAGATGCTTTCAATGATATTTCTAATTACATATAAATAGCGCGAAGGACAGGCAGCATATTTCTAATATAAATCGCATATGAACATCGGCTTGCCCGAGCTCAACTTCGTAAAATACTGTCTCGGGAGGCTAACGTTATATCCGGTTTGACGTGCACTTTTATTCTTGGACTCTCACTTTGCAACTTTGTGCTTTACCAGTCATGCGCGCTCCAACATTTTATAAGGTTGCCGGATATTATCGCGAGACTGGGATATATACTGCACAGCTTTACAATTTGTACATATACTTTTGCTAGTGTTGAGAACATCAAATTTTACTAGAAAACTGAACTGTTTTGCATGGTTTGCACTTGACGTCATGGCACTATTTGCTGGTAGTCATTGGGATTTATTATAGCGGAGAAAATCAAATCCGGTGGTGCAAAATGCAAGCTGCAGACTGTTCGCGCTCAGTGCAAGCCATGCATTTTAGGACACAAATTATTCTTGTTTGGTGCAGCGTCGTGGAGACCGGCACGAGCGTCTGAGTGTCTTTGCAAACGAATTAGTCTCCGGGATTACGCTTTCCGGTCTGTGCCGAAGACGCGGAGCTGAGAAATCCTTACAACACAGCATGTTTTTAAAGCTCACCTCGCCCCCCCCCGCTCCCCTCCCCGTTCTCCACCCCTTTTCTTGTTTTGATGCTCCTCCAGAGAGTACGTTTTGTTCCTGAGGGACTCTCTTCTCTGTTTTGGGGTGTTAATTCGACAATTAAGGCCCGTTCACACTCTTGCAACCGAGTACGACCGAGAGAGACGAGATCTGTTAAAACTCCTTAAAATTTCTTAGGACGAGAGAACACACTGGCATTGTGGCGCCATCTATGCGGTGACCCTGGAACTGCATTTCACAAGAGCGAAGGTTTTGCGGGATTTCCGAGGTAAAATGTGCGTAATACCTCTAAGAAAGGCTCGTTTATAACGTTGAAAAAATCTTTTCGAGCCAAGAAAGAAAGGATAATGCGCGAGAGAAATAGAAAATATGCCGGACCGCCAAGTTTACACTGCTACTCAATAGATGGCGCCACTGTCTCCTCTGGTTGTAAGACGTTTTAAGGAACCCAGTTTTAAGAAGTAGCAAGAGTGTGAACGGGCCTTTATACGTGTGTCGTCCTGCATTTTTTTTTTTTTTTTTGAACCCAACAAATATGAAGTTTCAACAAAATACGAAGGTGGTCAACGCTTGGAGAAGAACTTGAGAACGACACTCCTGTGAGACTGAGGCATGGGTCACACTGCTTATACGTCATACAAAAGACAGTTTGCAAACGAATTCGAACGCAGGCCACCACGAGTTTCGTGCTTCGAATGCCGTATGACAACGAGTTCAAGGGGAAACTTGGCACGCGGCATTCGAACCACACATATCGAGGGGACTGATGTTTGCAGACTTTTTTTTGTATGATGTGTAAGCAGTGTGACACCGGTAATAGAGTGGCTGCCAACGTTTGGCTCTCTTCCCGAGGCCACTGGGATCATTCTCTTCAGGTGTCTTTAATTACCTTACACACTTGTAGTTCTATTTATCGTAGGATTAACACGTGACACTTAGTCCTTTCAATGCTTCTATTCCCCGGACAACTTTCTGAGACAGTTCAGCAACAGCAAAAAAGTGTCTGAGTGCGTCAACGATGTGTACATTTAAAATAGGTCGTGCAACGATTTTCGAACTTTCAGTGAATACCGCTAATAGCTGATCCCTGACTTTGAGAACTTGCAAAAACACCCTTTAGATTTCCTCTCCACTCAATGGAGGGCACAGAAAAAATAAGGAGAGAAATTGCTTGCCTCCTCAACTCGCCATTACAACAAGCGGCCACGTGATTTGGCGCTAATTTGGGGCTGTACCGTAATTGTTCATTATAGTCACGCGCTGGGGTTGGCAAAAAATAATGCGTGGGTTGAACTTTAGACATTGTTAGAGTTCGGCTATTCTCATCTCTGATTCAACACGAGTCATTCATTACCCGAATGTTTGGCGATGGTGATTTTCATGAACCCGAGCACTCGACTCGGACTCATGACAACCGATTGCGTCATAATGGCACGTGACTTGCGGTGAGAAGCGTGATGCCATGTGACGTACACCATGACGTCAAGTGACCACGTGACGCACGATGAATCATAGTGTTAATACAAAATCGCCACGAAAACGATTGATTTCTCATACATTGCAATTCGGTATATGTCAATTTGATCGTTACATAAAAATAAAGCTGTCAATTTTTATTTATCAAAAATACATCTTGTAATAGACCTTTCCAGAAAAGGGCTGCTGGCCGGTTTCATTTTCAATGTTCGTGCGTATCGCGCGTGATTTGCTCGCTTTCCGAAGCGACGCACACGCACGTGCTGAGCTGTGG